CCCCCCTTCCCCCCCCCCCCCCCCCCAGCCACCCCTGCCTCCTGATGGCCACACCCCTTTCTGGGTGGCCCTGCCCCCTTCTGATGGCCACACCTCTGCCCCCTGGCCCCACCCCCTTCCTGGTGACCACACCCCTTCCTGGTGGCCATGCCCCCCTTCTTGGTGGCCCTACACAGGAAGGGCTCTCATGTACCCCACAGGCCTATCCATGGAGCAGGAAAGGGAAGAGGCTGTGGAGGTTCCCTTGGAGAGGGAGGAGGCTCCGTTGGAGAGGGAGGAGCCTGTGGAGATGGGACGAGGTTCTAGCAAGGCGGCTGGGTTCTGCAAGCGCCGCCGGGTTGCGCAGCGCAGAGGACGAAGGGTGGCCCCGCAAAGCGCACCGGAGGCCCCCTTGGCGGGCAGCCCCGCTCAGAGCAGGGTGCAGGCGCCCTGGCGCTTGAGCTCAGAGGCAACGCGCACCAGGCCCGTCTTGTGTGCGTTGTAGGGCGGGTAGCGCAGCGCCGTGACGGGCTCCAGGGCTGTGGTGCGCTGCAGGCAGCCGCGGTGGTGCGAGAAGGTATCGAAGGTGAACTGGCCGTGGTAGAGCCCCATGCCGCTCTCCCCTGCAACACACAGCACGGCGGGGCCTGCTGAGCAGGACCCAAAAACAACCCGCTGCTCCTAGAGAAGGCCGAGGGCCAGCGGGGAAGGCGCTCGCATCAGGACTGGCGATGGAGACCGAGACCTCCTTGCAGGGAGGACTAAAGAGGAGCAGTGCAGAAGCTGGAGGTGGTTTGGGTGGGCAGGAACCCAGCTGCTGCAGCCAGAAGTACTGGAGCACCCGAAACGCTTGGTGAGAGGTTGTGGAGTCTCCTTTTCTGGAGATCTTCCAAACCCATCTGGATGCCTCCCTGTGCCACATGTTCTGGGTGTCCCTGCTGGAGCAGGCGGTTGGACTAGATGATCTCTAGAGGTCCCTTCCAACCTCAGCCATTCTGTGATTCTGTGTGAATAAAGCTGGTTTTGTTTCTGTCTTAAGCTCCTCCTTTGTAGCTGCTTCCAGCATCTGCTCTCAAGTTTCTGTTCTCTTTTTGTGCTAACTTGGAAACTGAGTACCTTACTGAGCACAAAACCTTGCCTGGTAACAAGTGACCTGGACAGAAGTCCATGGCAGAGCAGAGACAAGGAAACATCAGTGAGGTTGACTCAGGCAGCATTCACACCCATTCCCAAGAAAAGGTAGAATTGTTCTCAGGAAGTGAAAGCTGGCTGCCTGGAAGCAAGCCAGGCAGGCTGGAGGGACGAAAATAAGGAAATCTTGCTGCGTGCTGTTAACTGATGTGGTAAAACTCTGTGAACTGCTCTGTTTTCCTGATAACACGCAAATCCTAGTCATTGGTGGGTTGTGTCCAATCTCTCTTCTGCCAACAGCCGCTGTGTGGAGCAAGGTCACTGCGTGGTTCCCATCCAGCTGAACTGCAGAGTGGAATATATAGCTCAGGCTATTGCGTGTTCCCACAGAGTGAAGCTCATTTGACCAAATGAATGTTTCTACCATCTACGCTCCTTCCTCTCCAAAGAGATGGATTTAAAAAAAAAAAAAAAAACTAAGAAGACATCCAGAATGAGTCAGAAGTATCATAGTCCAGAAGTGCCCTCTCTGTCCTTTCACTAAAGAGTAATTCCACACAGCTAGGTTGGACGCAGATGGCTTTTTACAACGTTCATATCTGCCATGGGGGCAGGTGGGTTCTACCCTGGGTTCCTGCCCAGCTGTGCTTACAACACAGCCAGCTTCTGGCTGTGACCAGGTAATGAGGATGGGTTTTCACTGGGGAGGAGGCTTCTGGAATGTTTGGGAAAAGGGCGAAGGTGCAAATGGCAAAAGTTTGTCATCAATCCCAAGATGTTTCGAGTAGGAGAGACACGCAGACATGGGTGTCCCATGCCCTGGGGACCCTGTCTCACCAAGGCCTGCATGACTCAGACACATGGGTGTTGGGGCTGGTCACATCTGGCTCACAGTTGGCCAAGACCAAGCAGGGCTGGGGTGTTTGGACCTACCAATGCCACCAAAGGGCAGCGAGGTCAACGTCACGTGCATCAGGGTGTCATTTCCACAAAAGCCACCGCTGCTTGTGCGTTCCAGCACGTGGTTCACCACCTGGGAGGGAAGCAGAGAAGGCAGATGTGACACTCAGACCCTGTCCCTGCACCTCGAGCTGCAGTTCTTCCCCCATGCTCAGGACTTTCTGCTCTAGCCAAAACCCATGGGGCACCAACGTGGCTGAACATACCTGAGGCCAGTAAAGCCCTCCCACCATGGGCAGCGCTTGGCAGACACCAGGCAACTCCAGCAGCAGCCCCTGTACACCCAGACCTCGGCCTCGGAGAGCTTCCTGCTCTCAGCCAGCAGGCCCTGTCCTGCCTCAGTCTCAGACGAGGAACTGATCACAGGCTGAAGTTCATGCGATCCTACTGATAACACCCAGACCTCAGCTAAAGGTATCTGGACTTCAGTTCCCTTCCCTGAGCCCAGAGCAAGGAACGCTTGCACATCCCATGGCTCTGGAGGCCCGCTCAGCGCTCACAGCCGTATGGGAGTTCCCATCTGTGCGTGGCTGTGCAGCCCTGCCAGTCGTTATTCTATTGAGAGGAGGAGGAACAGCTGGTGTTAAACATGTTCGGAGCATGGCCAGGGACATCAGCCAGTTCTTGCAGCCCTGTTGTTCTAGGTGCATCTTCCAGCCTGTACACCCTACCTTCTTATCAGAGGAGAAGACATATACAACGAGGGGCCGCTCACGGGCATTGATAAAATCAATAGCTTCATCCACGCTGGTTACGGTGATGATGGGCAAGATGGGCCCCAAGATGCTCTCTTGCATGATGGGATCAGAGGGCTGCACATCCACCAGCACTGTGGGAGCTGGAAAAGACAAAAGAGGAAACTGGAATTCATCACCTATATACACGGATGGGAGAAGTCACCTTGATCCTCTTCCCACAATGTGTCAGGTGACAGGAGGTCTTATCAACCTCCCAGATTGCCAGGCAAATCCCAGGCCTTCCCTGTGCTCATGACCTCCTTCCCAAAGCCAGGCCCAAGAAGGAACAGCCCCGTATGAAGTTCGAGCTCTGATGTCCTCACCGATGTAGCGCTCCTGCTCATCCGTCTGCCCTCCGATGGCCGCGTTCCTGGTGACCAGCAGCGCCCGCATGCGCTGGAACTGCTCGTCCCCCGTGATGCGGGCAAAGTCGGGGGACTCCTTCGGGTCAGGGCCATAAAACTCGGTGATGGCCTCACGCAGGGCAGGCAGCAGCTTCTCCTGCATCTCCGCACTGCACAGGATGTAGTTGGGCGCCACACAGGTCTGCCCGGCATGGAAGAAGCGCCCCCAGGCCACCCGCCTGGCCACGATGTGCACCTCGCAGTTATCAGATACGTAGCAGGGATTTGTACCCCCCAGCTCCATCATCACTGGGGTCAGGTTCTTGGCGGCAGCCGTCATGATGATCCTGCCCATGGCAGGAGTGCCTGAGGGGAGGGACAGACATGTCATAGCAGGGACCCCACAGAGGGACACACATCAAATGCCACTGTCGGGACGTACCGGTGTAGAAGATGTAGTCAAACTTGTTCTCCAGCAGTTTGGTGGTCCCCTCCTCGCTAGCGCTCACCACGGCATAGCAGTCCTGCAATGTGAGAGGAAGGGTCCCAACCGCTCTGTGAGCATCTATCGGCCTGGCCCACTCTGCCCCCAGCCCCACAAGGGGCACCTAGGGACCCTGGGCATGAGTTAAGGACTGTGAAGAGCAGCTGAGTGTGCAGAACAGCCAGCTGTGCAGAGGGGCAAGGGACTTACAGCTAGTTCAGTACCACATTTCCTGGAAGAAGCGCTTGAGAACGGGCGCCAGCTATGCTGTTGGTGCATGCAAGGCGGGCACAAGGCACAGCTCTACACACAGGGCATGGGAATGGCCTGGCCATGGAACAGGGACAAGTGGAGGGAACACTTTTTACCTTGTCCAAGTAGGAGGACAGCACTTCAGCCAAGAGTGCCTTGGTGTTTTTGGGTATCTCCGCGGGTTTGACAATGACGCAGTTACCTGGTGGGGAGGTGGGCAGGACATGAGAGCTGTGACACAGCCAGTGCCCCTGGCCTTCCTGCCCCAGATCCCTTTCCCAGTGCCCAACACTGCCAGCACACGGGCTGGATCCTCTGGTGCAGAAGAAGGGTTCAGCTCTGGCACAGCTCGGACTCACCCGCAGCGATGGCCCCGATGAGGGCCACGAGGGGTACGTAGATGGGGTAAGGCCAGGGGGCGATGATGAGCACCACCCCGTAGGGGTCCTTGCGGATGAAGGCTGTATCCAGCTGCGTCACCTGCAAGAAAGGCCACAGCATCAGCAATGCTCTTCTCAGGATAGGTCCAGAACAGCACAACTTTCCACACGTTGGTCTTGCTGCCCACAACCTCTCCATCCCACACAGCTCAGCCTTGCCAGGGTGCATCCTTTCCCCCCTTCTCCTCTTGCTCTTTCCCCTTACCAGATTCCTCTCCACGTGCTCATCCTTCATCCAAGTGTCCAGCTTGTTAAGAGTGTTGTTGAGCTCATTCTTGCACAGGAGGATATTGCAGTACTCTGCTTCAAAGGCTGGCTGCGGACACAGAGCACTGCGCATGAGACGGACAACAGAGGCGATTCCCCTGGTAACCCTGCATTTTCCTGTGGTTTCCCCCAGTTTACACATGATTTGGGGACCCAAACTCCCCACGTAACTGCATAAATTTTGATAGAATGAGTTGAAAAAGCAGAGGAAGGAGATGCAACCACTGGGCCTAGAAAGCAAGGAGAACAGCAAAACCGAGGTAAACGGCAAAACAGAGGTAAAGTATCCCTGTGTTCAAAGGGCCTGCTAGCTAAAATAAGAGAAAGGAAATCTGAAGGGAAGTGGGAAGACCCCAGAAAAAGTTAGTGGGAGGCGAGTCTGGCTGGGCAGAGAAAGAGGAGAATAAATAGAGTTTGTCCACACTGAGACAAAAGCAGAGCTTGGGAGGTACAAATGAGATGCATCTGGGAAAGGGTGCTGCGGGGAGCAAGAAATGGCTCTGCATGAGGCTGGGAAAAGTTAGACTGAGAAAAGGGCTGGTCTGCTCACGAGAGAGGAAGGCAACGTGAGCAGAGGACGGCACTGAGTGGGTTTTGGAGCATCCAAGAAAAGGGGAACTGCAGCTACCTGACTAAGCACAGCTGGCACTATCGATAAATACCGCCCTGCCAGAAAGAGGAACGGGACAGTGAATATTTAGGCAAGCCAAATGTCTTCAGGTCAGCTAGACCTGCTGGTTTTCATCCAAGGGATGCAGGAAACCGAAGCAGGCTGCAACCCTTTCACTCTTATCTCTGGAAAAGAAGGGTGGGAAAGAGGCCAGAAGGCCAGAAAATGCTGTGTCTGGGACATCGTTTAAAGAAATGGAAAAAGGAAGGTGCAGGAATCCAGAGATGCTCCTGACCGCTGCAGAATATTACAATAAATATCCTACATCCTCCAATAAAATAAGATAGATGAACAAGAGCCTGGGACTCTACAGGAGGTTCTCATCAGTGGGGTTTCACAATACTAGTCTTAAAACCCTACCGCTTAGTCTTGAACATGCAGGCACTTCTCTCCATGGAAAGTACTCTTGGAAAAATATTCAGGAAAAAAAAAATCCTCGTGGTCTGCAGAGAAGCGGTAGCAATTCATTGCACGCTGGATTTTCCCACAGAAAAGGTGGTGAGTAGCAAATGAAGCTTAAAGCAAGCAAAAAGAAGTGCTTCTTCACAGAATGTGTAGTTAAGTTGTGTCTTAATAACACTTGGCTCAGCTCACTGCAGGTGGTAAAAGTTCGCATGGGTTCAAGGGAAGACTGGATAAGATCATGGAAGAGGGATTCATGACCAAGGCTGTTGGTATTAAATATATAGAAACCACGTCTAGCTCAAGATGTTTCTAAGACACAAATTGTGAGAGGCTGCGAGACTATCTGAAAGTATTGTAAATATTTGCCTTGTTTCTAAGCATCCTGGACTAGACAGACCTTCGATCTTACTCAATACTCTGTCCTTATGCTCATATGTAAGCTGGGACCTTTGGCAAAGCTTCAACTATTGCAGGGCCATAACCCTGAGGAAGGTGCTGACAACCTGGATTTGGTATGGGCACGTGGAGAGAAAACCATGTCCAGCAAAGCATTCCTACTTGGTTTATGAAAAAGGCTTTCAGCGGTGGCATTTTTTTCTTACCAAGGGTGGAGAGGTGGAGAAGCCCATCAGCAATTTTTAGCTCCCAGCTTTCTCAAGACCTGCTATTCCTGGCTCCTCAGGAAAAGGAGGAGCTGGGTATTCCTAGTAGGTTGCCTAAGAGCATTCCCACACACACGTGCGCCCTTAAGTAAATCCCACACGCGCTGCCCTGAGGACGCGCGCAAGGACGCGCACGTTGGGTGCCACGCGGGGTGACACAGCAGTGCTCTGCCTGGGCTGACAGCCAGACACTTTCCTAATGGCAGGTCATACCCAGTTGCTCTAATGAGTTACGGGTCATGCAACACCATGGTTCTCACGCAGTAATACAATGTCCGTGTCAGCATATTTGATGCCAGGTACTATTAATTGCATCTTCTTTAATTGAGGTGTCTTGTGAACACAAACACAGGCATCCGCACTCATACTCCTTCACCTTTATCGTTCACCAATTTCAAGCATGCACAGGGCTGCATAATGGTCAGCCAAAGCTCCATTCATGCAATGCTTGTTTGTGCTCTTCTTCTTTCAGATTACACTGTTGTGAAGATTTATGTCATGTCCCAAATTTTAATCTCTAATAGCATTGCTTTTTCTTGGGCTTATCATTGGAGTTTCTCCAAATGTATCATTTTTTCTTGAGTTAAAGTAGTTGTTGACTGTAACTTATCTCATGTTGAGGGTTGGACTTGCATAACAAGCATTGATCTATAGCCAGTGCAAGACCAGACCTTATCCAAATATATTTTCAAAACTCTCTGAACAGTCAGGAAGGGAAGGTGTCAACTCCCCATTCCCATTACCTTCCATAGAGGGAATGTCTGTCTGGGACCAGCTCCAAGACTGCTGCTCTAGGCATGGGCAGTGTCTCCAGGTTCATTCTTCCCAACAAAAGAATGTGTCGGGCTACAGCCCACTTTTAGAAACAAAAGGCACTGAAATCATGGAAGCAAATAGAGAATGGGGGAAAATGTAGCACACGTTTCCTGAATGTCACCAAGCATTAATCTGGTTCTCCTTTTGGCTGCTCAAAAAATTGTTAAAAAATCCGGATCTTGTCTATCCAGGCTTTGATAAAGGATTGAGAGCTTCTCAAAAGGGAAATTATGAACTCAGATAGAGAACAAAAGGTTGTGATGAGCCCCGTATAATGCATAAGGGCCTGCCTGTGGTAAAACAAGACGTTCCCAAAGGGGAAACTATTGAGCTCAGGAGGCTTGAGCTTTTTCAGGATGGGATGCATGGGATGAGTCTGACTTGGCTCTTTCTTCAGGGACCCTGACATAAGCACGATAAAGGGAGCAAAGAGGCAGGGATGCAGCCAATACTAGGCAGAGCCAGGCTAGGAGACTTCAACCCTGCGTAACCATGAAGAATAGAGAAGGGCCAATATTCAGCATAAAGCCCAAGGTGGGGAGCACATGAAGAGCTTGGCAAGAATTTGTGCTCCTCAGGGGCTCGCCTGGCTAGAGAAGAGGAGAGCTGTTTGGGAACAGGGGAGAAGGCCAGGATATCTGCTGCTTGGCCCAGCGCTCGTGTCCCAAGCCGCTGGGACTGGCCGAGTGGAGCCCTGGTGTCAGCTCCGTCCTGGGATTTGTGGGTGAGAGATGGCAAAAGGGCTGTGGCTGAGGGCAGGGAAGGCCTGATGTCCGAGTCAAGAGGCTGGGCCAAGCCAGCCAGGCTCGTGTAGCACTGATGGGTGGGCTGCTCTCCCCAGAGACAGGGATGAGCTTTTGGGGAGGTAGGACGTGCTCCACACACAGCCCAGTCTTATCTCTTCACTGCCTCATCCAGCTCTGCTCATGCCCACGGGCACCAGGGCTAGGGCAGAGACCCACTCTGATGGGGTCCCCTGTGCCCCACACCCTGTGCCTGCGCTGGCAGGATGCAGGACCCTGGCAAAGAGGGCGCACAGACCCCACATCTCTTCCGTGCCTTGCCCAGCACCACATCCACCAAGATGCAAGATCCCAACAAGGGGAAGGCCCCAATGAGGGGACCCCTGTGCCCACCTGTGCTTCTACCCGGCCTCTTACCTCGTGCGTGTCGGAGGCCAGGGCCTCCATGATGTCCTGCTTCTTCTCATCCAGGAAGCGGCCCAGGGCCTCCAGCTGGGCCACGCGGAATTCCATGGGCCGCGTCTTTCCTGAGAGCCACGACGCCCGCAGGCGGCTCACGAGCTCCGCGTAGGGGTTCCCGCTGCGGGGATGTGGGTGTCAGAGGGAGCTCCGTGTCCTGTCCCAACCCTTGGCACTCGAGGTGACAAGGGAGAGGAGCTCTGTGTCTCCCCTTGTCCCTGCCCCAGGATCAAACTGGAGCCCAAGAGCCCCTGGGAGAAGGCAGAGCATCCAGCCACCTCCCGAGCTGCTGGGAGAAAGAGCCCCTGGTGCCTCCCATGCTTCGATTCCCTTCTGCCCCTGCCCTTTGCTCTCACCTGACGGCATCGCTGTCTGTGCCCCCCTTCCCGCTGCCTCCATCAGCCCCTGACGATTTGCCAACCCTGCTGCCCGCGGGGCTGCTCTTGCTGTAGCCCAGGGGCTTTTGGCCAGACAGCTTGAGGGGCTGCTGCACGTCGAGACGCGAGAAGGAGCTGCTGGCCTCCATGGTGCCACCGGAGGAGGCACAGGGCAGGTGACACTGGGGTTGTCCACAGGCCGGGGCAGCTGTTCGGACACCACCGCTCCGCCGCGGTCAGGCTCAGCGAGCGGCTGCGCACGTTGCCACAGGAGGATGCAGCCCACGCGGGAGCCCGCTGCCTCCCTCCAGCTGCGTCGGGACCCACGGAGAAATGCGGCGCGTGGCTGCGGGCACCCAGACTTCCCCCAGGTGCTGTGGGCTGGGGGCCGGGCTGCGGCACTGCCAGCTTCCTGCTCCCTTTGGAGCCTCTTCCCCATCGCGGCTTCTCCGGCGCTGAGTCAGCACCAGCTCTGCCCCACATCAAGCCGAACCACCGGCGATGCCAGACACGCACCAGCAACCCGGCCTGGTGGAGACCCCCCCCATCAGCCTCCCCTGGTGCCTCTCTGTGCCCCAAACTCCTTCCCTTGAGAGACCCCAGGTGGGCAGCAAAAGGCTGGGCAAAGGTGGCGTAGGATGAGGCCAAACAGCAGAGCTCAATGCAAAGTCTTTACTAAAGGCAAGGTTACGTGGAGGCAGAATGGGCAGTTGACACTGAAAGTAGGGAGAGCAAGGTTCACCTGGAAGAAAAAGATCATCGTACTGGAGAGATGGAGCTAACTGTTGGTCCTGAGCACCCAGGAGATCATTTCTCTACTGGGAAGAGAAATGTAGGGTGAGAAAGCAGGAAATCAGGACATTCCAAACAAAATTTGTGTTGTTTCAGATCTGTCCATCATGACAAATGGCCCAGAGCAGAGGAAGCTGGTGAGGAGCAAGCAAATGGGGCTGGCTGGATGCAAATGTCTGTCCCCACTGTCCTACACGTGTAGGGGTGGCAGCGAGACAAAGGACATGGCAAGGACTGCTGCGGGGACGGGAGGAGAAGGCCAGAAAGTGGCAGGGCTTCTGAGGCCCATGTGGAGGGCAGGCCAGGAGGTCTTCTCCCCAGTCCCAGCATGGGTGGCACCGGGCAGCCCTCACAGCAGGGTGCACATGCCCTTGCGCTTGATCTCGAAGGCGGTCGTCATCAAGCCCAGCTTCTGCTGGTTGTAGGGCGGGTAGCGCGGGCAGTTGATGGCCTCCAGCCCCATGCAGCGGTGCAGGCAGCCGCGGTAGTGAGTGAAGGTGTCAAAGGTGAACTTGCCGTGGTATTTCCCCAAGCCGCTGTTCCCTGCAACACACAGCACAGGCCCGAGTCTGTGCAGCTCTCTGCTCGTGCCCACTCCAGGGCAATAAATACAAGGAAAATACAGCTATGGGCCTTCCTGAGGGAAATGCTCATGCTGAGGGATGACACTGGTGACAGGAGAGGGACTAACAGACATGGTGGCATTATCAGGTTGTTTCAAAACTGCTCTACCTGATGCTGTGAGGCAGTTTTGGAGAATCATTTCCATAAAGGAAAGTTAAGGTACGGGAACCATCAAAACTTGTTCCCTAATTCATAGTCAACCAAAGAATTCATGCTGCTTCACTGCCACAGTGACCATTTAGGTCTGAATCATCTATCAAGACGGAAGTTGCTTCCCCATGCATCTCACTTGGACAGAACACTGATTTTATTTTTAAACAAAGTATTCGCCTTTTACTCTGTTAGCTGGCTATTTTTATGGTTCTCTCCAAGTCTGTCCTTTATGGAGCCTCTGAATATCCCATTATTTTGAGTGTCCAGACACCGGTGATGGTTCATCTCAGCTAACTCTAGCTTAGTGTACTGTGGTCATCCGCCCTCACCTTAGTCCATTCTAACACCGTGCTTCTTCTGTAGGCAATGAACCAACACCTAGCAGGATCAGCAGGTCATTTGCGTTCAGTTTATCCATTTGCCTTACTTGGCTCTGTGCTTTCTCCAAAGAAAAGTGTTACCGCTTCATGTTGAGCTTAAACCTTAGAAAATCTACACTGAGACCCAAGGACTGGAAGAATATTTTGGGAAAGTGTCTGGGGGCCTGGGGATACGCTCTGAGAAAGAACCGTTAGTGGCTTTCTGTATTCCCAAGCTCTTTGGATATCTAGTTGGGAGAAAGGCTACAGATAGGGTCTGGAGCTAGATAGACCTGGCGTTTCACCTTAGAAAACAGTTCTTATGTTATACAAGGCAAACTCCTTCTTGCTAATGGCTGTGCTCTCTTTCCTAAAGAGGATCTCCAAGGTACCACAAACTGATTTTCAAGAGGTTTGTACACTCTTCTAAGCACTTAGCATTACAAAAGTATTTCCCTAGCGATATTTCTGTAGAGATAGGCAGGCTTCGCTGAGCGCCCTGGAGCTGAGGATCTCAGGGGTCCCATGCCCTGGGGACCCTGTCTCACCAAGGCCTGCATGACTCAGACACATGGGTGTTGGGGCTGGTCACATCTGGCTCACAGTTGGCCAAGACCAAGCAGGGCTGGGGTGTTTGGACCTACCAATGCCACCAAAGGGCAGCGAGGTCAACGTCACGTGCATCAGGGTGTCATTTCCACAAAAGCCACCGCTGCTTGTGCGTTCCAGCACGTGGTTCACCACCTGGGAGGGAAGCAGAGAAGACAGACGTGTCACCCAGACCTCGTCCCTGCACCTCGAGCTGCACTTCTTAATCCATGACCAGCCTGTCTGCTCCAGCTAAAATCCATGGGGCACCAACACGGATGAACACATCATGGGCAGCTCTTACCAGACATCACCCAGCTCCACCACCACCCCCTGTGAGCCTGGAGGTGCTGAGTTCAAAAGGAGCTTAAGAGCATGCCCTTGTTTCCCAGGCGCGTGAGTGCTAGCCCTCCGGCTCCATTTTCCTTGCCCCCTTTTTTGATGCATGCGTCGCACCTTGTTATCGCAGGAGAAGACATAGAGGGCCAGCGGCCGCGGACGGGCGTTGATAAAGTCAATGGCTTCATCCATGTTGGCCACGACAACAATGGGCAGGATGGGCCCAAAGATCTCTTCTTGCATGGCGGGATCAGATGGCTTCACATCCGCCAGTACCGTGGGAGCTGCAGAAAAAGACGATGGCAGCACATCACTCAGTGCCCAGAAATGGGTGGTCTCACGCACGCAGGCCATGCCAGCAAAGTGCCGCTTTGCAAATTCTTTTTTCCAACAAAGAATCTTACGCATCTCTCCATAGGCTTCAGTTTTTAGATGCCTATGTTGTCCCTGAGGCTAGAGGTTGATGCAGAAACTCCCCAGTGGTTGTGACTCACACCATCCCTGCTTCCCCATCGTACGTCCCCGTGGCCAATGTGCCCTTGCTCCCCGCATGCCAACCCACATCCCTGTGTCCTCACCGATGTAGCGCTCCTTCTCGTCCGCCTGCCCTCCGATGGCCACACGCCCACTGCACAGCAGCGCCTGGATACGACGGAACTGCTTGTCCCCCACGATGCGGGCAAAGTCGGGGGACTCCTTCGGGTTGGGGCCGTAGAACTCCGTAATGGCTTTGCGCAGGGCAGGGATGAGTTTTTCCTGCATCTCCACGCTGCACAGGACATAGTCGGGTGCTATGCAGGTCTGCCCTGCGTTGAAGAAGCGCCCCCAGGCCACCCGCCTGGCCGCGTTGTGCACGTCGCAGCAGTCAGATATGTAGCAGGGGTTCTTGCCCCCCAGCTCCAGCGTCAGCGGGGTCAGGTGCTTGGCGGCGGCCGTCATGATGATCTTGCCCACGCGAGGGCTGCCTGGGGACAGGGAGAGACAGACTGCAACCCAGCGGGACACACATCAAGCCCCACCAGGAAGGGGACCTTGCACTTGCAGCCAGGCTGCTTCCCTCCCTCTTTGAAGGTGAGGGTGTTGAAGCTGTGTGGTGGGAATCCTCTCCCAATTGGCACAAGGAAGCAGCAGTCACACCGGGCTCAGCTCTAGCTCTTGGCACTTACCAGTGAAGAAGATGTAGTCAAACTTGTTCTCCAGCAGCTTTGTGCTCTCCTCCACAGCACCGGTCACCACGGCATAGCAGTCCTGCAGCACGAGAGGAAGGGTCCCCATCCCTCTGTGAGCATCTACCAGCCTGGCCCGCGCTGCCCCCAGCCCCACAAAGAGCATCCAGGATGGCCAGGCATGGGGACATGGGCTGAGGGTGGAGGAGGTTGGCATGGGAGCCACCTGGGAACAGGGAGCAGCTATGGGGCACAAGGCAGGCACAGTGCCTGGCATACATAGGGCACAGATCAATGTGAAGGGCTCGGGAACACCCTGGCAATGGGACAGGGACAGGGACAAGCACAGGGAACATTTGATACCTTGTCCAGGTAACAGGGCAGCGATTCAGCCACGAGTTTCTCAGTGTGCTTGGTTGTCTCCGAGGGTTTGACAATGACACAGTTACCTGGTGGGGAGATGGGCAGGACATGAGAGCAGTGACACAGCCAGTGCCCCTGGCACTCCAGCCCCAGGCACTGCCACCACACAGGCTGGATCCTCTGGTGCAGAGGAAGGGTTCAGCTCTGGCACAGCCCAGACTCACCCGCAGCGATGGCCCCGATGAGGGGCACGAGGAAGAGGTGGATGGGGTAATTCCAGGGGGAGATGATGAGCACCACCCCGTAGGGGTCCTTGCGGATGAAGGCTGAGTCCAGCTGCATCACCTGCGAGAAAAGCCACAGCATCAGCACCGTCCCTACCGCCCCCTGCCCTGCCTCGCATCATGCACACACACTGCTCTCCACCTCTCTGCTTGCCATTTTCCTTCTCCTTACCAGGCTCTTATCCACATGCTCATCCTTCATCCAGCAGCACAGGTTGTTGAGGGTGTCGTTGAGCTCGTTTTTGCAGAGGAGGAAATCGGTGAAGTAGGCCTCAAAGAACGGCTGGGGACACAGAGCACCGCCAGGATTACTCGTGACGTCGTGCCCGCTTTCTACCCCATCCCCAGGAGACCTGTCCGTGCTCTTCTGCTCTGCCCCCAAAGGGCCCCACTGCCTATGAGATCCCTGAGATGAAGGTCTGAGGAATATCACACACCCTGAAATTTAATGAAAATGGGTATTTGGGCTGAGAAATTCTCCCAACTGAATTGCTTCCTAAGCTCATCTGATAACAGAGACTTGAGCGCAGAGGGGAGTGAGCACTGTCACCAGTCAAGGGGGAAGCAAAGTTCCCATCTGCCTTCTGAAGGCTGAGCCCATGCAGGAAACCTGAAATTATTCTATTCATGGAGAAATATAGAGGAGCAAGATCTCAATCATTTGACAGATGACAGATATGCAGGAATTCCTCCAAGCTTCTGGAGCATCCGAGTCTGCCCCGGCTGGGAAAGGCACATCAGGTAAAACATCCCAATAAGTGAATTAAATAGACTCATCAGATTCCATCAAGCTGACCTGGCAGGAGATGCAGTGACTACCCTGACCATTATTGGGAGGGATGTGCTGGCTGGCTCCAAGAGCTGGAGTCACAGGGGCTACAGAGGTATTTCCTGCACGTGGCTGGTCCTTGCATTGATGCAATAGCAATGGTGAGACTAGCTGTGCTTGCAGCTTTGGGTCCTCAACACCACCCAACCATCCGGACACATCCCGCCTCCGCGATGCGGAGCTGATAGAGATGAGTGCTAAGGCAGCACATTGGATGTGTGATGAAGCAACGGGCCGTTTTCTCAGCCCAGGCTGATAGCTGCATTTTTTTAGGAGGAGGAAGCAATTGCCGGCAAAAATAAGGCTTCCATAGGACATTAAGGTTGGAAGATGGGACATTAAGTCTGCGGTCATCCAGGCTCTTTCCATCATCAGCTGGGGCCGAGGCACCCACCTCTGATACGTAAGACCAGATGAATTGTCCAGCTAACTATGAAGGCCTGACTGCATAACAAGCCCATTACTGGCAAACCAGCTCCTAATGACATACAATTAGGATTCACAAGACACTTCCAGTTCTGATGCCTATCGACCTCTTGCTGAAGCAGAATGTTCCCACCTCAAACAAACTAGGCAATTACAAGCCTTGGGAGATTAGAGAATGGTGAAACCCCTGATTGAGGGCATGGTCAATGCACTGATACACCCACGGGCACAAATCCTCTGAGTCTAAGTGCTACCACTACTGGGTACCAACATCTGTTGCGCCCGACCGGAGAAGAGGTGAGCAGAAATTGCTGAGCGTGGCAAAGGTGCAAACGCCCCCCTTTCCTTGAGGGGCATCATCCTGGCAGCTTGAGGGGCATCATCGGGGTGTCACAACACTCAGAGCCTTGCCAAAGCCTTGGCACGTCCCCATCAGTGCCACTGTGCAGCCACCAGAGCCGGGGCAAGCTCCGAATGGCCCGTGGAAGAATGCGCAAAGCCAGCACATTGCCCAGTGCTGCTAAGCCCGGCTGCAACGGGGTCTGTGAGCAGCATCCTAGGATGTAGCTTTCCACACCCGGGACACCATGAGGGCCACGTGAGGCCACCTGGGATTTGCTGCTGCTTTGGGTGTACCTGGAGGGCGAAGCTCTGCAGCTCCGTGGGTAGGGTGCTGCTTACAAAAGCTGGCGCTCTACAATGAGGCCAGGACCAAGACAGGATTAAAGTGGGCAGGAAAAGCTCTGTGATGCCAGGACGGGGCTGGAGGACGGGGTGGGGGGACAGCCCCGCGGGCAGGACCAAGCGCTGATGGCCTTGCTGATGCCGGGCCACGTCCATCTCCAGGCAGGGAGATGCTTCCCGCCTCCCTGCAGGAACCCAGCACTCGGAGCACCTCGAGGTGCCCCACGACAGCCCCCTTGCACCCTACTTGTCAAGGGTATCTGGGCAACCCCCTGCATTAAGACAGGGCTGTGGGGAGCCTCTTGGCGGGACACCCGATGGAGGGGGATGCTGGAACCCAGGGCCCCCCATGCCTGTGCCCAGGCAGATGCAGGACCCAACAGGAGAAGATGCTAGACCCTGAGGAGAGGACCCCCATGCCAGGCACTCCAGCCCCTCACCTTGTGCATGTCCAGGGCGGTGGCCTCCATGATGTCCTGCTTCTTCTCGTCCAGGAAGCGGCCCAGGGCCTCCAGCTGGGCTATGCGGTACTCCATGGGCCGCGTCTTCCCTGAGAGCCACGACGCCCGCAGGCGGCTCACGAGCCCCGCGTAGGGGTTCCCGCTGTGGGCACGCGGGTATCAGAGGGAGCCCTGGCTCCATGCCCTGTCCCACCCCCTGGCACACTGGGTGACAAGGGAGAGGAGCTCCGTGCCACCCCAACCCCTGTCCCGTGACCCAGCTGGAGCTTGGGGAGGTCTGTGAGAGAGGGCAGGGAGTCTGGACACCCAGGTTCTCCCCAGGCCACCAGCGGGGGCAACAAGAGCCCCTAGTGCCCTCAGCTCCTTGCCATTCCCAGCAGACCCCCCTCCCCAGACTTCCCCTCTAAGGGCCACATTACACCATGGTGACCACTGGCTCCCAAAAATAAGTCCCCAGCATCCCTGATCAGCAATGACACAATCCAGGGGATCGTGCTGGCACCTGCCACCCTGGCACTGCCATGTCCACCTCTGCCCCCTCTTCTCCACCACCACAAGCACCTCAACTCCCTCCTGTCCCCAGCCACGGGTCCCCAGCCTTTTGCTCTCACCTTTTGGCACTGCCGTCCTTGTCGCCCTTCTGGCCACCTCCGCCACTTTCAGATCCTTTGCCGGTGCCACCTTGCTGCTGCCCACCTTGCTGTCCGCCTTGCTGTCCACCTTGCTGTCCGCCTTGCTGCCCGCCTTGCTGCCCGCCTTGTGTCCACCCTTGTTGTCCACCTTGCTGTCCATCTTTCTGCCCGCCTTGCTGCCCCCCTTTTTGGCCACCTTGCTGTCCACCTTGCTGCCCCCCTTTCTGGCCACCTTGCTGCCCACCTTGCTGCCCGCCTTGCTGTCCACCTTGTTGTCCACCCTGCTGTCCACCCTGCTGTCCGCCTTGCTATCCACCTTGCTGTCCACCTTGCTGCCCGCCTTGCTGTCCACCCTGTTGTCCACCTTGCTGTCCACCTTTCTGCCCGCCTTGCTGCCCCCCTTTTTGGCCACCTTGCTGTCCACCTTGCTGCCCCCCTTTCTGGCCACCTTGCTGCCCACCTTGCTGCCCGCCTTGCTGCCCGCCTTGCTCTCCACCCTGCTGCCCACCTTGCTGCCCGCCTTGCTGTCCACCTTGTTGTCCACCCTGCTGTCCACCCTGCTGTCCGCCTTGCTATCCACCTTGCTGTCCACCTTGCTGCCCGCCTTGCTGTCCACCCTGTTGTCCACCTTGCTGTCCACCTTTCTGCCCGCCTTGCTGCCCCCCTTTTTGGCCACCTTGCTGTCCACCTTGCTGCCCCCCTTTCTGGCCACCTTGCTGCCCACCTTGCTGCCCGCCTTGCTGCCCGCCTTGCTCTCCACCCTGCTGCCCACCTTGCTGCCCGCCTTGCTGTCCACCCTGTTGTCCACCTTGCTGTCCACCTTTCTGCCCGCCTTGCTGCCCCCCTTTTTGGCCACCTTGCTGTCCACCTTGCTGCCCCCCTTTCTGGCCACCTTGCTGCCCACCTTGCTGCCCGCCTTGCTGCCCGCCTTGCTCTCCACCCTGCTGCCCACCTTGCTGCCCGCCTTGCTGTCCACCCTGTTGTGCTCTCCACCTTGTTGTCCACCCTGCTGTCCACCTTGCTCTCCACCTTGTTGTCCACCCTGCTGTCCACCTTGCTCTCCACCTTGTTGTCCACCCTGCTGTCCACCCTGCTGTCCACCTTGTTGTCCACCTTGTTGTCCACCTTGCTGCCCGCCTTGCTGTCCACCCTGCTGTCCACCTTCCTGCTGTCCACCTTGCTGTCCACCCTGTTGTCCACCCTGCTGTCCACCCTGCTGCCCACCTTGCTGCCCGCCTTGCTGTCCACCCTGCTGTCCACCTTCCTGCTGCCCACCTTGCTGTCCACCCTGCTGCTGTCCACCATGGCAGTGCTCATCATGATGCTTCTCCCCATGGCAGTGTTCATCATGATGCTTCTCCCCTTGGCAGTGCCCACTGTGGTGCTGCTGGCCATGCTGCTGCTTGCCGCAGTGCCGGGGGGGCTGCTGCCAGCTGCATTGCCAGAAGGGGCAGCTCATGTCCACGGAGGCCCTGTGGGGAGGCCGGGGAGAGGCTGGAGGCCAGCGCAGCAGCAGGGGGCCCACCGGGCTCCTCCGAGGAGCCGGGTGGCGCGAAGGGCCGTCACCTTCCCGCCCGCCGTGGGACGTCTCTCCCTGGAGGC